CCCCCCGTCACAGCCCCGACCCTCGGCCCTGTGCTCCCCCCGTCATAACCGTGACCCACTGCCTTGTGCTTCCCCATCACAGCCCTGACCCTCTGCCCTGTGCCTCCCCCATCACAGCTGTGACCCCTCCTTGCGTACAAAGACCCTGTGGCAGAAGGAAGCTTAGATCCCCTCATGGTTGGCACCAAAATCCCCAGGGACGTTAGTGGGACACATAGTCCACAGGGTTGGTGGGGTTCATGTGAACATCTCAGGCTTGATCTTGGTATTCCCGGGATGCCCACTGAGAGGTTTGAGCAGTGTTTAAATGTTCAAGGTGGGGTCAGCCTGCTGACACCCTCTCTCTCCCCACAGGGACTGCTCCATTGCAGCCACCGGCAAACGGTAAGGTGGTGGGGGCCCCAGCCAATTGACAAGGGGTTCCCAGCCCCTGCCCAGATCCTGACACTCCCCCCCTCCACAGGCCATCCGCCCGCTTCCCCCACCAGCGGCGGAAGAAGAGGAGGGAGATGGATGATGGGCTGGCCGAGGGAGGGCCTCAGCGATCCAGTGAGTGGGCGGTGCCTGAGAGGGCAGGCAGGGGGCCAGGGGGCTGGGTGAGGGTGTTGACACATCTCCCACCGTCCCCAGATGCGTATGTGATCAAGCTGTTTGACCGGAGCGTGGACTTGGCCCAGTTCAGCGAGAACACACCACTGTACCCAATCTGCCGTGCCTGGATGCGCAACAGCCCCTCAGCGCGAGAGCGTGAACACTCACCCACCTCACCACTACCCCCACTGCCTGAGGACGAGGAGGTGGGATGGGGGGTGGGCAGTGGGTGGACAAGCTTAAGGGATTACCTTCTCAACCCCAGGCTAGTGGAGTGAACGGGCACAGGTCCCTATTGTCCCTCAGATATGACTCCTGAATCAGATGAGGTACACAGATGTGAACCCCTAGGCTGGGGGTATGGATGGAGGCCCCTAGGACAGACAGACTTGGCCACCTGGCCTGGGGGGAAGAGAACCCTGTTCCCCTGGGGAGATAGACATACAGCTTCCAAATTAGGAGTCTCCAAGAACCCTGGTTGCACAGTGGTTAAAGCACTCAGCTGCTAACTGCAAGGTTGAGAGTTCGAACCCACCAGCTGCTGTGCGAGAGAAATACGTGTTAGTTTGCTTCCATAAAGATTTACAGCCTTGGAAACCCTATGGGGAAGTTTTACTCTGTCCTGTAGGGTCACCATGAGTTAAAATCCACTGAACAGCAGTGGGTTTTCTAAGAGCTCGACTAGATGGGAGTCCTCCTGGCAGACAGATGTGGTCATCTGGCCTAAGGAGTGGACAGGGTTTCCCTAGGCGGAAAGACGTGCTCCCTGGAAGGGGTGGCCAGGGGTCGCCAAGACAGACAGATAGGACCCCTGAGCTGGCGAAGGTGGAAAGGAATTCCCCAGGGCAGGCAGACATGGCCACCTGGCTTGCAGAGTGGTGGAAGGAGGTTCCCAGGTGATGTGGATGTGACACCTGGACAAGATTCCTTGAGGCAGGCCGAGAGGACCCCCTGGGCTGGCAAAAATGGACAGATGTCCCTGGGGCAGGCAGACCTGATCCCCGGGCTGGGTAAGGTCCCTGCCCTTTGGACATGATTCCTTGGATCCTCATGTCTTATCCCTGGGAAGCACAGGAGGGATAGAGAGTACACTCCCAGCGCTCTGCTCTGACTCTCTCGGGCTGGGTGTGGGGCCCTTGTGTCCCCAGGGGTCAGAGGTTACCAACAGCAAGAGTCGTGATGTGTACAAACTGCCTCCACCCACGGCCCCTGGGCCACCTGGAGACCCCTGCAGATCCCGCATTCCATCCCCGCTGCAGCCTGAGACCCAGGGTACCCCGGATGATGAGGTGGGTGTGCAGGGCTGTCCTGGGGCTGAGCGAGGCACACCTTACTGGGCTGGGAGCATGGCCACCCAGCCTGGCCTCTCTGTCCCCACAGCCCTCGGAGCCCGAGCCCTCTCGCTCCACACTCATCTACCACAACATGCAGCGCTGGAAACGCATTCGTCAGAGGTGAGCACCCTCTCAACCTGCCTGTCCCTTGTGGTCTCTGCCTCAACTGCTGAACCCTCCCCTTGCTCCCACCCCACCCCAGGTGGAAGGAGGCATCTCATCGGAACCAGCTCCGTTACTCAGAGAGCATGAAGATCCTACGGGAGATGTACGAGCGACAGTGACGTGCTCCTGTCTCCCCACCCCAATAAAGTCCCGCTGTGCCCTGGCCTCTGCTTGCCCCAGCCTCTCTTGTGGCCGAGACCTAAGGCAGCTGGCAAAGCTCCAGCACATTTATTGGAGTGGGCTTAGGTGGGAGTGGTGGGACAAAGACAGCAGGGAGCTCAGGGAGGGAGAAAGGTGGTGGGGAATGAAGGGAGTGTCTGCTTGGCTGATAAAGAGGAGGAGTGTGGAAGGCAGATTGCCTAGGATATCGGGCTGGAGGCTGAGGGTCAGGAAGAAGGGGGTAAGGGGATATCCGTGCAGTCTGGGGAGACTGGGAGATGTCTGTACAATTTGAGGGGAGCGGTTTTGGTTGGCCGGGGATAAAGTGGAATCTCTCCAGGGGCGAGGATGAGAAAAGGGGCTTAAGAGTCTAGGGGTGGCAGGCTGGGGTTTAAGTCAGAAGATGTGTCTGTAGAGAGTGGAGTGTCCATTTGGAATGAGGAGGAGCCAGAGTTTTGGGAACCAGACCGACGTGGTCTGGGGTGGGAGGTCTGCAGAGTCTGGGATGGTTGGGGTGTGGGTAGCGTTATGCCTGACTAGTCTGAGGGCAGGGCTCTCTAACATGTAATGTGGGGTTACAAGTAGGAGTTTAGGAATATCTTCCTAGAGTCTGGAGGGAGTCTTGAGGAGGGGATATCTGCCAAGAAAGTAGGGTCAGTGAGGATGGGGGTCTGGAGAGTGTGGGGCGGGAAGGGTCTAAGACCGTGTATCGCGGCTGGGTCTAGGGTGGAGCGGTCGGGGACGGATCCCGGATGGGAGATGCGTGGTCTAGGCGTGCTCAGGGCATCTGGCTGGTGGAGTCAGGTCGGCTTTAAAAGAGGGGGCCTGGGACGGCTCCCGGCGTTCCGGCCGCGCTCCCGGAGCCCTACTTGGCGGCAGCTGGTGGCGGCGGCGTGGACTGGGCCGGCGCGGGTGCGGCCTGGATGGACAAAACACCCTCGGGGGACAGCGCGGACGTCACGGCGGCCGGGTCCACGCCGGGGGGCAAGCGGTAGCGGCGGTGAAACTCGCGCGCGATGTAGCCATGCTCATCCTGGATAGGGCGAGAGGCGTGGGCCGCCGGGTCAGAGCGCGCGGGTCCCGCCCCCGCCCTCCAGGAGCCCCGCCCCCGCCCCGCCCCCGTCACCGAGCTCACCTGGCGCTCCTCGTGGCGCGCGTGCACCTCCACGTGCTCTCCCACCACCTTGACGGTGATTTCCTCCGGCGAGAAGTGCTTCACGTCCAGCAGCACCGAGAAGTGGCCGGGTTCCGCCGGCACCTGCGCGCGGCCCGCGTGGGAGGGGTGGGGAGGACTGTCATGGGGCGGGTCGAGGCCCCGCCGGCTCCGCTGGCAGCGGCCTCCAGAACTGGAGGGTCCCCTTCCCTACCTCTTCATCCAGAATAGTGTAATCACTGGGATTCTCTTCGCACCCAAGGTGACGAGCCTCCCCAGCTCTGAAAGGTCAGGGACCTCCGCCCTCACCGGGTACCCTAGGCCTGGCTCGCCCAGTGTTCCTACTAATCCCACAGTCACCGCCCCGCTTCTCTCTCCCCCGCACTAACGTTCCATCCTTCCCCCGGGGTCACCGGGGCCCTGGCCCAGAAATCGCCAAGACGCCTTTTGCCCAGTACCCCGAGTCCTCTTTCTGCCCTCCCACTCGCGTCATGGACTTCTCGCGAGCACCCTCAGCAGCTGTTAGTACTCCTCCCCCACCCCTCAGAGTGGCCAGGGTCTCCTCCCACAAGTCACACGACCCCTTCTCTCCCTCCGGGGAATCGGGTCACTACACAATCTCCGATCTCTTCTTCCCCCAGAGTAACAGAACATTCCACCCCGAGAGTCTCGGGGGGCCCCCCACATCCCTCAGAATGACTGGGCTCCTCCGTCTTCCCAGATTCCCTGAGTCACTAGTGTTTTTCAGAGTTACCACCAGCACCCTAACAGTGGTGAGTTCTTTCAACCTCCTCCCTCAGCTAATGGGACCCCAGTCAGAACCACAGGGACCTCACCCCGTTCAGTAACCCGGCCCGCCCACTCCTTTCAGAGAGCTGGATTCCACCCTCAGGTGCCTCTGGAAGCCCCTGAGTGGCCAGGACTCTTCACCCCACTCAGTCACCAGACACTCTCACCCCTCCCCCCCCGGGGTCGACCCGGTCGACCCGGACCCCTCGCCTTCGGGATGACCCGGTTAGTGTCCCTCCCCCAGGGCTGGCACCTGGGCGGTGGGCAGCGCCACGCTGGGTGCGCGCAGGTAGTAAGGGGCGAGAGTAGCGGGGCAGAGCGCAGCCAGCTCAGCCTCCAGCAACCCCTCGCCGAATCGCTGGTCAAAGAGGCGGCCGGGCGTTGAAAGCCCGGGCAGCGGGGCTGAGGCGCGACGCAGCCAAGATGGCTGTACAGGCACTGGGATCTCCATCCTGTTCCGCCGCCGCTCCCTGGGCGCCGCAGTGCCTCTGAGTGCGCGGTCGTCGCTTTATAGCTCGCCCCTGTGCCCGCCCTTCACGGCCGCCCAGGAACGCCGGGACCGCGGCCAGATCTGGCCACTAATAGAGCCTTATTTAGAAACCCCAACAATTACTTGGCAATTTATTAAGCGCCTGCTGGATGCCTAGTAAAGGCCGCCAGGGAGGTGTCATTAAAATCCCCATTTTCCGGAGGGGGAAACTAAGGCCGGGGAGGCGGAGCCTTGCCAGAGGGGGCTGCACGTGCGACGATTGGGACCCAGGGTCCAAAAACACCACCGTACAGCCACCAGGCCCTTTAATCCACCCCGACCCACAAGTCCCACAGACAACTTTGGGGATGACGTAGATGGCAGGTTGGAGGCGGATTCCAGGGTACAGGGAATGTGGTACCCGGGCCAGGCTGTCAGGAGGACACAGAACAGACCCTAGCCCCACCCTCAGCCGGGCTCTGGGCACAGCCCCGCTGCAGGCCGGGCCTAATTCTGTGCCTCTGACTCAGCCACCGGTACGCAGGGCAGCGGGGTCTGCCAAGTGAGCGGCGGCCAGGGGCGCGGGAACGAACAGTCTAGGTTGGTCCCTCAGGGGCCGCGCCCCGGGTCCCGAAATAGCTCCTTTTGATCCTGCCACCCACCCACTTTGGCCAGGAGCCCAGGCCTGGCACCCGGGGCAACCAGCTGCTTCTGCAGCAAGAGGGAGATGGTTACATGACCAGCAGGACTGGCTGGCCGGCCCAACTGATAGAGGAACGGCAGTTAGAGAGGGGACAGGCTCCCTGATTGCCCCTGCAGCGGGAAGAACGGTGGCCAGACTGGAATCTGGAAGAGACTTCTGCCGCAAGAGGAAGAGCGGTTACAGAGCAAGATTGCCGCTAGTCCAGCCTCGGATCCTTTTCATTGGTGCACAGGCTTGCCAATTACTACTGCCAGCTACATATTGGCCAATCAAACATGGTCTCTCAAGCAGACGCGCCTTAGAGCCAATCATGAGACATCTCTTTTTGGTCACCTCTCTGCGATCTTTGTTTTCTTCTTGATCATTGGTAGCCTTGGAGGCCGCTCTTTTCCGCGCGCTTACGCCCAGAGAGGGGCGGGGCCTATTGCTAAGCGACAGAGATGCGCGCGGGGTCTGCCGGATGGAGGGACTGAGCAGGCGGAAGCGCCGTGGTGGCAGCGGGATGGCCCGCAGGTGAGGCATATCCTTTTCCAGGAACCACAGGAGACCTGGGGAGGACCAAAGGGTGAGGGCCACACAGGCTATAGGCAGGTTCGCTTGAGTCCCGAGTCTCTGGGGCTCAACCGCGGTAGAACTACCATTCCCAAGATGCCTCAGGGCCTGTGCCTCGCCTTCCGGGATCCCGTAAGCGTCTTAGGTTCAGCTCTCCAAGTGGCCGCCGAGAGCTTCTTCAAGGATGTCCAAGGCCGTCTAGGAAATTAAGTTGTTTCTTTTGAAATTTCCCCAGAGACCTGTGAGTGATGGTGTCTTTGAACTTTCTCGCTTAAGCCAGAGGACACAAAACCGGTTGCCCCAGTTGATTCCCACTCATAGCGACCGTATAGGACAGAGTAGAACTACCCGCATAGGGTTTCCAAGGCTGTAATCTTTACGGAAGCAGACTGCCCTATCTTTTTCCCGGGGAGCAGCTGGTGGCTTTGAACCACAGACCTTTTGGCGCTTAACCAGTGGCCACCAGGGCTCCTTATGAGGACTGTAATCCATCAGTATTTTTCTCCTTGGATGGTGCCCCAAGGACTTATGGGAGATGTAAGGGATATGGTCTAGCAGTGGTTCTCAGCAAGGGCTGTACTTCAGGATTGCCGGGGACGCTGCAAGAAAGATATGGATGTCTAGCCCTCACTTCGAGATATTCTCATTCTTTTGGTCTGGGGTGGAGACCACACATCTCTATTTTTAAAAGGTCCTTCCTAGACTGGATCTGGAAGGAGCCCCGGTGGTGCAATGGTTAAGCGCTCAGCTCCCGTAAAGATTCTAAAAACCAAACCCATTGCCATCTAGTTGATTCCAACTCATAGCGACCTTATAGGACAGAGTAGAACTGCCCTGTAGGGTTTCCAAGACTGTAATCTTTACTGAAGCAGACTGTCATGTCTTTCTCCCGCAGAACAGCTGGTGGGTTTGAACCACCCTCCTTCTGTTTAGCAGCCAAGTGCTTAACCACTGCCACCAGGGTTCCTCTCCGGTAAAGAGTACAGCCTAGGAAACCCTGTGGGGCAGTTCTTCCCTGTCATACAAGGTCTCTATGAGTGGGGATCGACTCCACAGCATACAATAACAACAGATGGGATCCAGGGCTGAGAACAGGGCTCGTGGGAATTATGCTTCCAGTGTCTTTATCTTAGATGTGTAGCGGTGCCTCATGGGAATTATAGCCCATCCCTTCCAGGGATCCATGGGAATTGCTGTCTAATCCTATCCCCTCTTCCCCTGTGGGTGCAGCAACCAAGCTCCTCTCCTTGGCAGACCACTTCCCCCAACCCTGCTCTCCCCTTGCAGCCTGCCAGTTTTCTCCATTCAAGACAACCCCTTTGGGGATGGTCTCCTGGGTCAGAGCCACTACTGGCCATCCCAAAGCCAAACCTGGTGCCCCAAGGTAAGGGCACCCCACAGAAAGTGCTGTGCGCCAGCCCAGTAGCAAGGGAGTAACGGTTAGATGGAAGGAAGACATGGGATGGGATATGGAGGTGAGTGGTTAAGAGACAATCCCTCTTCCCTCCCCATGGCCCTGCCCTTGTCCAGCCCTCTGCTGCCTAGGCCTCCCAGCACATCCCGGATCACTCTGGGTTGTTTTACCATTGCAGCGTGCCCTTTTCCCCTCTGCACTGAGACTTCATGTGTGTCTTCGTTCCCCTATAGGAATGACCCCTCAGACCTCACTTTCTATTCTTCTCTCCTAGGCCTTGAGTCCATCCTGGACCTAGAGATCCAGGCTCCCAGCAGTTCCCAAGGCTGTACAGCCACAGCTCCCAACTCCCCTGAGCTGTTTGAAGAGTCCTGGCCCTCTGGCTCAGGGACTCCTTCCCCACCCAGCACCTCTAAGGGACAGATGGGGGTTTCCCCACTGCCTACCCCCGTTGACAGCGGAGACTCTGTGGTGGCAAAGTAAGTACTAGCAGCCCTGGGAGGAAGGGGAAGTTTGGGTTAGAGGATGGAGGCATCTCATGATAGTCATCCCAGCCAGAGCTGTTTTGACAGCACTGTTTTAAGACTAGGCACTTTATATGTGTTTTTGAAGGCTTGGGCTCTGGAGCTAGACTGCCTGGGTTCCAGTTCTAGCTGTCTGCCCTACTATCTGTATGATCTTGGCTTCAGTATCTTCATCTGTGAATTGGGAGATGTGAATAGCACCTATTTCCTAGGACTGTCTTGAGCTTTGAATGAATTACTGTATGTAAAGCATCTATAACAGTGCCTGTCACATAATGGGCACTTGGATCCATAGGCTACAGGTTCAGCTGCTGTAACAAAGAGTCCCAAATTAATTGTGGCTTAAACAAGGTAGAATTTATTTCTCCCTCACTTAAGCCCAGAAGCGATCAGGGCTGATGTGGCAGCCCCTTGGTGAGGAGTCAGGGACACAGGCTCCCTCCGTCTCGTCGCTCTCCCACCCCGAGGCTGATTCCCCTTACTTTCACGGGCCAGAATGGCTCTCAACCGCACATGCTTTCCAGAGTCACATCTTCTTACGTCCTGTTGGTCAGAACCTGACCACAAGGCTCAAGGGCACCTGGGAAATGTAGTCTATAGAAGAGCGGCTGTGTGCCCAGGGACAACTGTCGGGCTCGGTCAGGGTGCTCGATAAACAGTGGCGATTATGATTATGATTATTACTATTTAGCACCCCCCAGCCTGCTCACCTCCCATCCCCTGATGCTCATAGGTGCATAAACCGGTTCCGCCAGGCTCAGCCCACAAGCCGGGAGGAACGCCAGCCTGCAGGCCTAACCCCAGGTGACTTTTGGTGGCTGAGGCCCGAGTCTCCAGATCCCAGCAGTCAGCTCGCGGCAGGTACCTGCCTTGGTGACATCCACCCCCGGTCTAAAATCTTTCCTGATCAGTGCACCTAGTAGCCACTTCTCCTGGGCCTCCCTGATTCAATAGGGGCTTCTCAGCAGGGGCCAGTAAACACGAAAGAAGACCCAGCACAACCGTCCCGACTCCAGCCCAAGTGACCAGCACATCCCAGGCTATGGACCTCCTTCAGGAAAGAAAGCAGGTGACATCTCCCCCCACTCCGTCCCCTGTCTGGCTGAATTGACAGTGTCAGCACGAGAGCACAGTTAGAGCCGTTCCCCGGCTCGAGAAGCTTAAACAGAAAGGAGACATGGTCGGCCGACGCAAATGAGAAATCCAAAAGTTGATGCTCTGGGGCCCAGCTTGATCTAGGTGTTGGAACGCTGCTGGCAGGAACCTGACTAGCTTAGCTCTGTGTTCCTCCTCCTCGGGCTCAATCCCAAGCTGGCTTTCCCCTTGTAGCAGCCAAGATGTCCCCCTCTGGCTCTGGACTCCCACGTCCTAACTCAGCTACTCCAGCAGAAAGAGGAGGCTTTTCCAGTAGCTCCATCCAAAGCCCCAGGGCTCGCTCTCATTGGCTCATTCTTGAGGCTAGAGCGTACCAGAGGAACCAAAAGATAGTAGAGTATTGTGATTGGCCAGGCCTTGTCAGGAAGGCGGGGTTAACACTTCCCAGGCAGCAATGACTGCACAGGAGGAGTGTGGATCCACTCTTCCCTGAGGGGGAGGAGCAGATACTAAGCTGGCACATCCATAGAGACCAGCCTGTGAGGGTACCAGGTGAGGTGCAGACCTGAACTCCAGGCCCCATCTAGAGTCCTTTTCCCAGCAGCTTCTGGAGTGAGGGCTGGCCTCTGACTCCTGTCACCCCACAGAGCCTCAGCACATGGGACTCACCCCTGCTGGACCTGGAGACGCTGAGCCTGCAGAGCAGAGCTGCCAGGCTACTCCAGCGCAGGTGCCTCTCGCATCCTCTGCCATCCTCCCCCTCCGCCAGCTCCGGGCGGCTCACTGCCTCTGAGGTCTCCATTGCCTCACGCGTACCTTCTCCCTGCAGCCAGGCCTCCACCTCCTCCTCCCTCAGCCCCAGCGACGCCAGCAGCTCCTCATTCCCTGCCAGCTCGGATGGCCTCTCCCCCTGTTCTGTGACCTTCACCGCTAACGCCAGCAAGGACTTTGGCCCCGGGATACCCGGTGAGTGCTGGGAGGCAAGGAATGGGGGAGTCTGGATGCACATCCCGGCTGTGCCACTTACCAGCTGTGCGACCAGGGACCTCTCTGGGGCTCGTTTCCCTGACTGTAAAGTGGGGATGGTATTTGTGCTCCCCTCCCACGGGTGTTGGCAGGATGAAATGAGTTAGTAAATACCTGGGAAGCGGCTGTGCCAGACACTGTCATTATTGTGACAGGTCTACCAGCCTCTACCTCCTCTTCTGAACACAAAGCTTCAGAAACAGAAAGCTTTTTGCAAATTTGCCACCACACCTGCTTTGACAGCAAAGTCCGACCTGAAGGACATGAGGCTGTTTATAACATACATTTAGGGTGAATAGTCGTACTTTTTCCTATGGATATTATTACGTTGAACCATATGAAATTTGTACTTTTGAAGTCAAAAATGGTTGAATATTGGCCATTTCTTATGGTTCAGCCCAACATCAGTGTGTACTGCCCCAGACCCATGTATACACTGTATGACTTGGCTAAAACTTGCAAACTGTTGAACTCTCAAATTTCTGCCCCCAAGATTTCAGAGATGAGATCCAGGACCTGGGTTCCTATTACTGCTGTCCTTGTGACTGTGACTTGTGCCAGGTCCTGGGGTGCAGCAGTGCACCGGACAGATGTTCGCCACATCCCCTGAGCCACCCAGTCCAGTGAGGACAGGCAAGCACAAGTGGACAGAGAGGTGTTCGTGCTGCCGTGTGATCCTGTCCACACACCCACCTGTCATTCTTGGCTCCTTCCAAGCTCCATCACTGACCTCTCCCTTCTGAGCCTCAGTCTTCTCATCTGTAAAATGGTCGGAAAAGTAGTACCTACTTCACAGTTGTTTTGCAGAGTAAATTTACTCATTTACTCATCCACTTAGCAAACGTTGAACACCTACCACGTGTAAGGCCCTGTGAACGGCAGCGGGGATCCCACAGCAAACCAACCCTATGCATCCCACTTTGGGGTCCTCACAGCAGAGTGGGGGTGGGGTGCAGAAAATAGCCACGTAACCCCACAAACAAATGTGAAACCTAAGCAGAAACAAGGGCCATGCAGGAGACGCTCACAGAACTGAGAAGTCAGGGCTTCCTGGAGGAGGTATTGTCCTAAGTGGAGACCTGAATGATGAAGGTGGGGCAGGGGCCTTCCAGCATATACAAAGGACCTAAGGTGTTAAGCTGAGTGAAATAAGTCAATCACAAAAGGACAAATAGCGCATGAGACTGCTCTTATAAAAAAAACAAGGAAAGGTTTACACACAGGAAAAAAAAATTATTTTATGGTTCCCAGGGATGGTTTGGGGAGGGAGGGAAAATTACCAGATAGAAGACACGTGTTAATATTGGTGAAGGACTGGTGGAACCCTTGAGACTATGGCGCTAAGCCACCCTTCTGACCTAGAGCTGAAGCCATGCCCAGAGACCACCTTCCAGCCAAACCGTAGACAGGCCCATAAAATAAACAAGAGCACCCGAGACGTGATCCTTAGAACAATCAATTATGCGAGATCAAAAGGACAACATTTGCCCAAAAGCAAAGATGAGGTCAGGAAGGGGTAGAAAAACCCGGAGGAACGAAAATGGGGAACCCAGGGTGGAAATGGGGAGAGTGCTGCCACATTGAGGGGAATGCAGGCTGTGTCATGGAACACTTTGTGTACAGACTGTCAGACGGGAGCTAGCTGGCTCTGTTAACTTTCATCTGAAGCACAATAAACAAAAAGGGCCGAGGGTGGAGGGAGCATGGAGCAGACGAGGGACGGGGAAAGGGGAAAGGCAAGAGCCGGGGTGAGAGTAGTGTGGATTAGGCCGGGGAGGGTAACACAGGCCCTGTGGGACCAGGAAGGGTTCTGAGCAGGGAAGGGACTGGGTCTCTCTAGGGTGTTAATAGACTCCTTCGGCTGCTCTGGACGTCCAGGGAGAGAGGCTCGTGGTTTGGCCGGAGCCTGAGGAGTGGAGCGGAGGGAAGTGGCCATCTTTGGAGGCAGAACCACAGAATGCAGGGGCTGAGGGGGACGTCGGGATGATACCCCTGCTCATCTGTGTAACATCGGATGGTAGAGCTCTGAGAGACAAGGGCAGCCCCACTGGTACGACGGATGAAGTGATGCTCTGGGTGATGGGAATCTGTCTGCCTCACTGGACTGAGGACAGGCCCAGGGCTGTCGTAGTCACTGCTGTGTCCCCAGCTCAGGGCTGGGCACTGGGATAGAGCGTGACAAACCATTCATTTTGCATTCATGACACAAATATTGTTGACACTGGAGATACGGTGACAAGACAGAAATCCCTGCCTGAGTGAGGCTGGCGTGGAGGGAGGAACAATAAATGAACAAAGAAGTACAGTATTTATTGTGTTGGAAGGGGATCCGCTAAGGAGAAGAATCCGACAGGAGAAAGATGGGGAGTGGTCAGGGTGGGGGTGGTTGGGATTCTGAGTAGGGTGGACAGAAGACCTCACTGAGAGGATGACCTCTGGGCAAAGGCCACAGGATGTGAGGGAGTGAACCATGTGTCGTGAGGCAAGAGCATTCCAGGCCACGAAACCACAAGGGCAAAGGCCTTTCCCTCAGTGGGGTGCAGCAGGGGAGGGCCCTGATCTGACCCAGACGTCCACCGGCTCCCTTAGGCTGCATGTGGGGGACAGACTGGAGGGACGGGGGGAATCAGGAGACCAGGGCGCAGGCTGCTGTGATGGTCTGGGTGGGTGAGGGCAGGACCAGGGTGGGGGCAGTGGAGGAAGGGAGAGGTGAGCAGGGTCTGGAGGATCTGTGTGGTTCACTGCTGTAACCCAGTGTACAGCATGGGGCTCAGTAAACAATTGCTGACTGAGGGAGTGATTAACAGGCTGCAAAGCCAGTCGGCGCTGGCCCGACTGCCCCCGCTCCACTTCCTTCCCCAGGGAGAAGTGGAAACATTTGGAGAGGCTGTCGGAATAACCCAGTCGAAGGAAGGGTGTGGAAGCTGTTGGGTTGCTGATCACCGCACCCCAGCCCCTGCCTCACCCCCCTCGCCTCGATGTCCCCCACAGCAACCCCGGTACCGGCTCCCACCCCAGCTCCCGCGTCAGTTTCCTCGAGGGCACCCCTGCGGCCAGAGGATGATATTCTGTACCAGTGGCGGCAGCGGAGGAAACTTGAACAGGCACAGGCTCGAGGGGGCCAGGGTGATGGACCCTGGGTGCCTTCCAGGACCCCTGCCTTCACTGGGGTGAGATGGGGGCTGGGGGAGGAGCCTGAGGGGCCGGGGGAGGAGCCTGCCTACGGGGGACTGAGGACCCTCCATCCTCCTCTCTCCCTCTCTCCTGTCCCCGTTCCCACCTATCTACAGATCAGTCCTGCCCCTGCGGAAACCCTTGGTCCGCTGGGGACCCAACCTAATTGTGTCCCCCTGTGGGGCAGTGTGGCCCAGCCTGGTCCCCCGGAGGCCTTCTGTATGGCGAGGCCTCTTATTCCCCCGGGGTCCTCGCCACACATGCTCTGGGGCCCCAGCCCCCACGGGTTCTTCTGGGTCCCGCAGCCTGGCCCCTGGGTATCTCTCGCGGCGGTTCCTCCTGCACCGCCGTCCTCCACCGCCGCACCCCCTGTAGCCCCCCAAAAGCAGCCCAGCCCAGCGTCTGGCAGCCTCGCCCAGCCCGAGAGGCAGGACCCCAGGCCTCGGAGGAGCAGAGCCCGACGCCAGGAGCCTACCGGGCGAGTCGCGACAGCTAGCCCAGGACCTGGCCCGCAGCTCAGGGGCGCTCTGGGCCAGGTAGTGGCGGCTCGGCTGTTCCCAGACGGCCCAGAGGAGACGCCCCTTCGCCTGCAGGGCCCGTCTGCACCTGAGGCTGAATTTCCGAAGGTCAAAGCAACACCCCCTCAAGCCAAGGTCCGGTCCCCTCACTCAGAGGCCACGGTCCCTCTGCCTGAAACACGGTTTCCGCAGACTGAGACCCCGCCCCGCCGGTCTAAGGCCGGGCCAGAGAAAACCCGCGCCCCGCCCCGCCCCAGGGAGTCGGCTGCAGCCGGGTGTCCGCCCCCCAAGGCCCAGCCCCTCGCGCTCCAGGTGGAGTCTCCCGGGGCTGCGCCCGCCGCTGACCCCACCCCCTCGGAGGACCTGCTGTCCCAGGCCGCGCGGCTCCTGGAGGCCGCTGAAGGTGAGCGGGGTGCGCAGCTGCCCGTGTCCGGGTCTGCCCCTGCTCGTGCGACCCCCTAGAGTTCTTTCTTTTATCCCAGATTCCGACGGCAGTGAGTTCCAGGACGACCCCGTGCTGCAGGTGCTAAGGGCTCAGAGGGTGGAGCTGCGGCGGCAGAAAAGGTGACCCCATAGCACCATCTGCGACACGGTCCCTGAGTTCTCTGGGACTCTATTTGGGCGCCCACCCTCCCGAAGACCTTTCCGGGCCCGGAAACCTTGTCCACATCCCAGACCCCAATCCTGAGCACATACTCAAGCCTCTACTCTCCCGGGTTTTCTCCAGGAAAGTGGACGCCAGATTATCCTGCTTGCTAGGCCACGTCGAGGACCCGGGATCTCGGTCCCCTTCAGCCAGTTAACCTCCCAGGTCCCCAAGGAGGCAGCAGCGAAGGGAAGGAGTCTCCCTCGAGGCTAGACGACTTTGAGTTGTACAAATTCTGTTTTTCCCAATAAACATTTTTTTCAGGTTACCGGCTGTCTGAGAAATGGGTGCCGTAGAAAGGTACAAGGGTCATGGAGTTTAGGGAAATAGCTCCCCATGGCTCTGACCTGCTCCCGACCCTCGTTCCTGACCATTGAAGAAAAATATTGGCAGGGATGAAGGTCCAGCCCAGTCTTCAGGCAAGACTGGGACCCACTTTATCGGAATCAATTCAGGTGTGGGTCTTCCTGTCTCAGCTGAGGCCACAGGAACTGTCCTCTGGACATGAACCTATTAGGGTCATTAGAGTGTTAAGCAATGGTCAGTCCCAGTCCACATCCTGATGAATGGCTGATCCCTCCCTCTGGGAAGCATTTCCTCGCCGACCCCACACTCTGCTCTCATCTCTGGTGGCCCCTCATTGCCCCAGCCTGTCAACTTTGGTGTGGCCCAGGACCCTGGCCTTGATTTCCTACCCTCACTCACTGCCCAGGCACTCTCCTCTAGCTTCACGACTCTAAACCCCGCCTCTATCCTGATAGTCTGCGTATCTCCATCTCCAGCCTAGGCTTGGTCCCTGAGGTCCAGGCTCCCATGTCCAATCACCAGCAGCATGTGGGGGAGGGCTTCTGAGAGCATCACAAACTCAGCATGTCTTAAACTGGGCTCTTGACCTTCCCCCTAAGCCTGCTTCTCCCCCACCTTTCTCATCTGGGTCAATGGCAGCTCTGTCCTTCCAGCTGCTCATGCCAAAAGCCTCATAGTCATCCCTGACTCTTCTCTTTTTCTCACCCTCACAGTCAGTCAACTGGCAAATCCTGACATATTTTAAAGCCTTTAAAATCTATCCAGAATTCAACCCCTTCTCTGCCCTCTACTGCCCTCTTCGGAGTCTAGACTAGTCTCCTGTCTGGACTACTGAAAAGCCTATTTTTGTTATTATAAAAACATTTCTGCAATTCTTGAACAAGTGGTAGAATCTATGCCCCTTCTTCCTGAAACTGGGTGGACTTGCGACTGTCTCAACAAATGGAATGCAGTTAAGAAAACACTGCTTAAGTTCCAAAGCTAGATTAGAAAAGGTGATGGTTTCCACCTAGTTCGTTCCTTTTAGAGCCTTGAGCCGCCATAGAACAGTCCCCAGGTTGCCATGCTAGGGAGGTGGGTTACACACACACACACAAAACCAAACCTGGTGCTGTCGAGTTGATTCTCACTCATAGCAACCCTACAGGACAGAGTAGAACTGCCCCACAGGGTATCCAAGGAGCAGCTGGTGGATTTGAACTGCTGACCTTTTGGTTAAGAGCCGTAGCTCTTAACCACTGTGCCACCAGGGCTCCATAAGTGTATATATTTGTCAAAACTTGGTGAAATTTGTGAATTGTACATAAGTTTTACCCTGAAAGAAATTTTTTTTTAAAATGGGGAACTCTGTCTAGTTAAAGATATGCATACTGAAGTGGTAGAATTCTCACCTTCCATGTGGGCGACCCAGTTTGATTCCCAGCCAATGCACCTCAAGTGCAGCCACCATTCATCTGTCAGTAGAGGATTACATGTTGTTGTGATACTAAACAGCAGAGCTTCCAGACTAGGACAGACTAGGAAGAAAAGCTGGTGATCTACTTCCAAAAACCAGCCAATGAAGACCTGATCCTGTTGTGCGTGGGGTTCCCATGAGTCTGGTGCTAACTCAGTGGCAGCCAGCAACAACATACCAATGTCTCTGTGACACAAAGAACACAATTTGGCCTTCGTCCTTGGTTCCTGAGAGGCAATTCTTGGTATTTCCTGAGTCACCAAAGTGTCATTATTATCTGAAACCTCCAGACAACATTTGAAGATTTGTGCAAATGAGTAGAGAGCTGGCCAGGCCACAAAGACCAGCTGGTCAGCTAACCTCAGAAAGGAAGGAGGACATGATTTAATTAATCATGAATATTCAATGAGGCCCCAATCATGGTTATGTAACAAAGCCAATAAAAGCTCTGGACACAGAAGTTCCAAGAGCTTCCTGGCTAGTGAAAAACATGGATACACACGAGAGGGTAGCACGACCCATTGAGACATGGAATCTCCACATTGGGACCCCTCCTGGACCTTGCCCCATGTGTTTCCTCTTTGTGCTTACCCTGATTTGTATCCTTTTGCTAGAATCTGTAATCATAAGTATAGTACTTTCTGTGAGACGTTTCAGTGAATTATTGAACCCAAAGGAGTAAAGTGGGCCAGCAGGTGGAAATAAGGATGTTGTGTGGACTCGAGCTTGTGGCTGTCATCTGCCTATTTGGCAGTTGAAGGATGGCGTCCTTTTAACTTGTGAGATCTGACCTAGCTCCAGGTGGCTAGGGTCAGGGAGGAAAGTGCCTCCTGGGCAGCTGGTGTCAGAGCTGATCAAGAAGTGGAAAAGTGATTTGTAGTATCCTTGTAGTTGGGAACAGAATAATGGGGTTCGGAGATTTTTCACACGACACAGTTGGCATATGAAGATTGATTTATTAGCCTCCTTGCTGTCTGCAGTTTACTTTGAAATGCATTAATTAGATGGATTGATGGATAAATAGAATAATGGATAGATGTGAGATAAAGCACACACAGCAAAATGTTAGTGGTAGGATCTAAGTGGTAGATATATGTGTGTTCACTGTAAAATTTTTCAATTTTGCTGTATATTAGAAACTTTTCATAATAAAATGATGGACAATATCAGATCAGGGTTGCTTCGATATCTGTATTTATAAAAAGAGGATGAATTTGCTGACCTCATTCCTATCACAGGAATTCCCCACATGATGTTCCCTCTGCCTGGAATATTTCCCCCATCAATCGCTGTGGTGGTTTTAAAACCTGGCCACACGTTCTGTTAGCAAGAGATGAGGTCTATGACCCTTCCCTTTAACCTGGGCAGGATTGTGCTCTCTTCAAACAGAGTACCCCCCTCCTCCCAGCCTGTTCCCCAGATCAGTCAGAGGAATCCTGTTAAAAATTCAGGTCAGATTCCATCCCTCCTCTGCTGCATCTTTCTCTCAGAATACAATTCAAAATCCTCATGTCTTAGTTACCTAGTGCTGCTATAACAGAAATACCACAAGGGGATGGATTTAACAAACAAATTCATTGTCTCACAGTCTAGGAGGATGGAAGTCCGAATTCAGGGCGCCAGCTCCAGGGGAAGTCTTTTTCTCTCTGTTGGCTCTGGAGGAAGGTCCTTGTCATCAGTCTTCCCCTGATCTAGGAGCTTCTCAGGGCAGGGACCCTGGGTCCAAAGGACGTTGTTTGCTCCCGGCACAGCTTTCTTGGTGGTTTGAGGTCCTCCTGTCTTTTTGCTCGCTTTTCTCTTTTATATCTCAAAAGAGATTGACTCAAAATAAAACCCAATCCTGTAGATTGAGTCCTGCCTCATTAACATAACTACCTCTAATCCTGCCTCATTAACATCATAGAGGCAGGATTTACAATACGCAGGAAAATCACATCATATGTCAAAATGGAAGACAATCACACAATACTGGGAATCGTGGCCTAGCCAAGTTGACACACATTTTTGGGGGACACAATTCAATCCATAACACCTCAGAATCTAAAATCCTACAAGGCAGTAAATAATCTGGCCTGTGTTAACTTTCTGACTGCGTTTCCTCTTCCCTCTGTCTACTCTGGCTACATGGGTCTCCTTACTCTTCTTCAGACCCGCCGGGACACTCCTTCACCTGCTGTTTGCACAGCATGCATTGCTCCCCTGCTAGGTAATGGTGTAGTTTGCTTCCTCACTCCCTTCTAGTCTTTGTTTCAAATGTCACTTCTCCATGATGCCTTTCCTGACCACTCTGTGTAAAACTGTAAATTGACCCCTCCCTCATCACTCCCTTTCCCCAATCTTTGCTTGATTTTTCTCTGTAGCATTTATCACCTCCTGGAAAAATCTGCTGCAAAAGAACTCTTTTAAAGTGTTAAAAAGCAAAGATGTTACTTGGAGGAGTAAGATGCACCTGACCCAAGCCATGGTATTTTCAGTCACCTCATATGCAGTCAAAAGCTGGACAATGAATAAGGAAGACCAAAGAAGAATTGATGCCTTTGAATTATGGTGCTGGCAAAGAATATTGTATATACCATGGACTGCCAGAAGAATGACAAGTCTGTCTTGGAAGAAGTACAGCCAGAGTGCTCGTTGGAAGCGAGGATGGCGAGCCTTTGTCTCAAGTACTTTGGACATGTTATCAGGAAGGACCAGTCCCTGGAGAAGGACATCATGCTTGGTAAGATAGAGAGTCAGTGAAAAAGAGGAAGCCCCTCAAAGAGATGAATTGTCACAGTGGCTGCGACAATGGGCTCAAGCATAGCAATGATTGTGAAGATAGCAGAGGACCGGGCCGTGTTTCATTCTGTTGTACGTAGGGTCGCTATGAGTCAGAACCTAGTCGATGGCACCTAACAAGAACAACAGGCTATATTTTTTAATACTTATTTCGATCATTGTCTTCTCCCACTAGCTTTTGAGCTCCAAATGGGCAGGGTATATTTTCCCCTGTTTTGTTTAGTGATGTATCCACAAATTAAGTCATCAAATTAAGTGAACGAATAAATGAGCCAGGGACATACCCTCTGAGGTGAGAGCCCTGTTAGGGGCATGACTGCTGTGATGGATTGAACTGTGTCCCCAAAAAATGTGTGTCAACTTGGCTAGGCCATGGTTCCCAGTATTGTGTGATTGTCCACCATTTTGTCATCTGATGAGATTTTCCTGTGTTATAAATCCTACCTCTATGACGTTAATGAAGTGGAATTAGTGGCAGTTACGTTAATGAGGCAGGACTCAATCTACAAGATTAGGTTGTGTCTTAAATCAGTCTCTCTTGAAATATAAAAGAGAGAAGTGAGCAGAGAGACATGGGGACCTCATACCACCAAGAAACAAGAGCCAGGAAAATAGCACGTCATTTGGACATGGGGGTCCCTGTGCTGAGACGCTCCTAGACCAGGGGAAGAGTGATGACAAGG